GATTTGGGAGATTGGAACTAAAAAGAGAAGAGATAATAAACCAAATAAGCCTCTAACTGATGAATACTAATTCTTTTATTCCTAAACATTCACCCTTTACCTCTCCCTGGCAAATATTCTATATTCTCTATTTGCTTAATTCCTTTAAAAAGTTGTTTGGTTAACTCTTTAACTTTGAGAACATTCACTCTCTCCATCCTTTCTACTTCCAAACATTCAATTGCTCCTAATAATCGGAATAAGTTTAATCCGTCTTTGGTTCTTTTGTGGATGTAATTAGTATCCTCATAAAGTAAAATATTTGGTTGATATTGCTGAACTAATTTATTGATGCCCGAATAGTGTTCTTTTCACTCTTTATTAGTTATTTGGTGAAATTCTTCCTTTTCTCCATTCCGAAAATATAGGCCACTAGTTCCGGTTCCACTAGGGTCAATACTCAATATCTTATCCATGCTTAACCTTTAACTGCTCTAAAAATCAATCTCTACTCCGATAATCAGTAAATTTCAACATTCCCTCCTTTAGCAATTTAATTCACTTCATAATCAAGTCCTCTTTCTTTCTTAATCGACAATTAGTTAATTTACTCTTGGCATACTCTTCGGGAGTGAAGCAAAAGTTTATTAAAGTATTATCGGTTTGTTTGCTATTCTTGGTAAAATGCATTAGGCAGTATTTTTTATTTACTTTCCTTACTCCCATTTCACAGAAATAGAAATCTTGGATAGAGTGGATTATCTGATATTTGCCCATCTTTTCTTTGGCTAACATAAAATCATCTCAATTTCTTAAACTAGGATTGGTTTTTTCTTCTAAGGCTAAACTATGAGGGTCAGACTTACCGGGCAAGAGATTTAAATATAAAAGTCATTGTTTATCCTTACTCCAAACCATTATTCCACGATTATCACCCTTTACTTTTAATTCTTCGGCTTTTCTTTTTCAGGCAAAGATATCTCCAAAATTATCTAAAAAATACATACTGAATAGGTAAGGGTTAGCCAAGAAGGTTATTTTTAGTTCTTGTTCGTTTCTTTTTAAACTTTCGATAAAATCTTTTAGTTTTCATTGCTCTCGGGGTAATATTTCTTGGTCTAAGGGAATAGCCTCTTCATAGACTATTTCTTGGAACTGAACTCCACGGGCAATTTTACCTCGGGCTTTACGAAAACTAAACAAATCAAAAAA